AGTAGCTGAGTGGATACACTTGACACTTTTTGGGGATAGTATTACCTACTATAAAACTGAAAGTGTACACTTTTCTGGGCTTGTGAACTCAGCGACTAAGCTTCCTTAGTTGAAAAGCAAATAAGAAGACACACCCCAAAACCTTGAACCCTCAAGCCTGATGAGCTACGAAAACAGACCCTAAAGACCCAAACCCTACTAATATCAGGTCATGTTCCCTGAAACCCTATTCTAAATACTCAGATATATATATATATATATATACATATATGTAGATGTTTTATATATTTCACCTTACCTGGAGATCCCTGGTTAGTTATACGTGGGGTTAGAAGTCCCCGAAATGTTGGTGATAATTTTAGTTTCCCTGTACACCTATATAGACCTTCAAGTAAGCTGCTCCAAACCTTAAGTAGACCCGATTTACAACCCTAAAATCACCCTAAACCCAGAACCCTAAACCCTGAACCCTAAACCCTAAACCCTGAACCCTAAACCCTAAACCCTGAACCCTAAACCCTAAACCCCGGAACCCTGAATCCTAAACCCTAAACCCTAAACCCTAAACCCTAAACCCAGGCTTGATATCAGCACCTCGGTGGCCGCAGCAGCTTTGCAGCAGAGCCACGGGTGCTGGGAGCTGGCAGTGGATCTGGCTTGTGACCTCAACGCCGTCCATCTTAGTGCAGCTTGGTTTGGGTTTAGGGTTTACGGGTTTAGGGTTGAGGGTTGAGGGTTTAGGGGTTTAGGGTTTAGGGTTTAGGGGTTTAGGGTTTAGGATCTAGGGTTTAGGGGTTTCGGGTTGAGGATCTTACGGCAGCTTGGATTGGGGTTTCGGGTTTAGGATCTCAGTGCAGCTTGGATTGGAGTTTCGGGTTTAGGATCTTAGTGCAGCCCGGAAGGAATGCTCTCAATGCTCGTGCTTGTTTCCGAGGCCGCTTCCTCAAGATCTGAGCCAAGCGCTTCCAGCCGCCCGCCTGCGCCGCAACCTTGGGTCCAGGCCCCGGCATTGAGCCCGCAGCGTCGGAGTCCCCGCCTGCGACTTGAGCGCTGCGCTGACGCTCGCCCACATCCTTCCGAGCCAAGTGCTCCCGTGCGCCCGGCCGCGCCGCAGCCGCCCAGAGAGGACATGGAGTTTGCTCGACTTACAGGGTGTTGGCTCGGAATTCGGAAGGCACATCGTGTACGGCAGGATCCTGGATCCGTCCTGCTTATAACGGGTCAGCAGAGAAATACTCTTCAAGGACTGGGAGTCTTTGGGGCTTGCATAGGTCCACACCATGGTCGGTTCTGGATCTTGTCAGAGAGCGGAGACTGCAGAGCCGCACACTTCCCCTTAACCCAATACTACTTAATGTAGGGGCGTAATTATTTTCTTATGCTAGTTTAGGGGGTTCCTGATTATCATGAGCATATAATGGCGCCTTCAAGACCCTATTCTAACTGTTAAGGCCCCTGAACCCTAAACCCTTCTAGTAGCCCTTATAGAACCCTTTTAGGAACCCTCTAAAGGGGCCCCAAGACCCTATTCTAATTGTTAAGGCCCCTCTTTTATCCTAAACCCTAAACCCTGAACCCTGAACCCTAAACCCTAAACCCTAAACCCTAAACCCTGAACCCTGAACCCTAAACCCTAAACCCTTATAAGCCGACAGCACACCGAGGCCTCGATCCTCTCGGGATGCCATGGCCTTTAGGCCTCTGCACAGGCCCCAACTCAACTCTTTGACCCCTACCTTAAGAACCCAAAACCTACTTTTTTGTAGGGTCCCTATAAATCCCATATTAGGGTTTATAATAAGAACCTACAAAAAAGTGGGTTTTGGGTTCTTAAGGTAAGCCCTAAGCCTTAAACCCGAAACCCTAAACCCTCTTTGACGTCCAACGAATCAGCCGGGCCTGAAAGAAATTCAGCCTCGGCAGCTTCCAGCACAGCCGCGTATAGTAGAAGCCGAAAAGTGGGAAACCCGATAGCCTCTATTCTCAGGAGTAGTGTATAGGGAATCACAGCACTAGTGTATCCTTAATCCGGTTTCCAACTTCTTGGGGTTTCCTATATGGTGCGTCAGCAAATGGCAAACAAGCCAAATGTCACCGTGGAGGATCACGTACGCCCTGTTGAACCAAGTGCTCCCATCCGCCCGGCCGCGCCGCAGCCCCCCGTCCAGGATCTGCAGCAACTCGCTGAGGCTCGGTTTAATATAGACCTTTTTATGATTAGAATGGGGTTGTGGGGTATGTTATACTATAATGATATGACGGAACCCCAGAACCCTATTCTAATTATTAAGGCCCCTGCATTATTCTCGATCTGTGAAATGTCATGTGCCACGTGTGACACCTAGGTTGTTAACCTCCAAAACTTCCATGTGTACAAGTATTCTGCTGGAAGCACAAAGTGAGTACTAGTAGTGGTAGTAGCGGTAGTCATTAGTCGTCGTCGTAAGACAAGGCAAGGCGAGAAAAGAAGAGAAGCGGGAACGAGAGAAGACACAAGAACAGAACAGACGAAAGGAGAGGCAAGAGAAGCGAGGCAGGGCAAGAGAAAGGCAAGGCAAGACACGAAAAGACAAGACAAGACAAGACAAGACAAGACAAGACAAGACAAGACAAGACAAGACAAGACAAGACAAGACAAGACAAGACAAGAACAA